CGAAATGTCACTGTTGCAAATTGCCATTTTTGCGAATTGTCATTTATGCGAACTGCCATTTTTTCGAATTGTCATTTTTACGAAATGTCACTGGTACGAATTGTCATTTTTTGCGAAAATTGCTATAGTAAATCTAATATATATGCATACAAGTTTACTGTAGCAATTTTCGCAAAAATAACAATTCGAAAAAATGGCAGTTCGCATAAATGACAATTCGCAAAAATGTCGATTCTCAAAAATGACAATTCGAAAAAATATCAGTTTGCATAAATGACAATTCGTAAAAATGATATTTCCCAAAAATGACTTTTCGCAAAAGTGGCAATTCGTAAAAATAACTTTTCGCAAAAATGATATTTCCCAAAAATGACTTTTCGCAAAAGTGGCAATTCGTAAAAATAACAATTCGAAAAAATGTCAGTTCGCATAAATGACAATTCGCAAAAATGACAATTCGCAAAAGTGGCAATTCGTAAAAATGAAAATTCGAAAAAATATCAGTTTGCATAAATGACAATTCGTAAAAATGATATTTCCCAAAAATGACTTTTCGCAAAAGTGGCAATTCGTAAAAATAACTTTTCGCAAAAATGACAATTTTGTAAAAATGTCGATTCACAAAAGTGACATTTCGGAACAATAACGATTCGTAAAAATGACAATTCGAAAAAATGGCAGTTTGCATAAATGACAATTCGCAAAAATGACAATTCGCAAAAGTGGCAATTCGTAAAAATGACAATTCGAAAAAATGGCAGTTTGCATAAATGACAATTCGTATAATATATACATATATATTTCCCACTATTTAAAATTTAAGTTGCAATTTGTTGTTGAATAATCGTCTCGTAATATAGTAGTTCATGCTTCAATAGATATCTGCATTCAGACTGGATTGAAATTTATGAAAGTGTTCAAAATGTTTTCTGATATTGAAGCTTGCTGGTTAACCGATAGATTGAAACGTTTGTGGCATAGAAATTTCAATATATCGCAAAATGTATATACATACCTACATATATATTATAAATATACATACCTCTGTTCGATTCACTGTTTTTATTCAAAATGAGAATTCTCATCGTATTTTTGAAAATTATTTTCAAAAAAAGAACCATTTGTTCTATTTATGTTAGCACATATACAATTTACTATATATTTATGCATATTTTCGAATCTCGATAATAATTTGAAATTATTAAATCGAAAATCGTAAAATTTCATTTTAAACTTTGTGGCTGAAATACAAATATTATTAACGTTCCTATATTCCTTCGTTACAAAGTTTTATGTTCATATTTAAAAAAAAAGTCACGTTTGTTATGTGTAAATTGTTCCTTTTTTTTCTTTTAAAGAAGGAAATATAAATCATTTTTAAATTGTCTGTTTTATAAAAAAAAGTAATTTAAATATTTACGTTTCTTTGCTTGTTATGTCGGTCAAATACATATTTTCATGTCTGTATAGTTAGTGAAAATCTTTCAAGACGCAAGAAAGTTAATTTACATTCCCTGGGGAATTTTATTAAGAGCTTTATGCTTCTTTCTTTAGACCCTTTTAATCTCGTTGTGGATTGTTTTACTTCTTTTCTTTAACTTTGTATATTGTTTGTTAATATGTACCCTCTCAAGAGAAAAAAAAAATTCAATTTGGATAGAAATAATATTCATGAATTTTTGCCAAAAAATTTTTAATAAAATTTTAATATTACAAATTTTACGATTAAGAAAATTTAATTGTTAATTTTTTTAAAATAATTTGTATGAAAATCTAATTTAAAAATTATAATCGTGAAGAAAAAATTGTAATGCTTCAAAAATACGCTTTATGTATAAAATAAGTTTAATATAACTTCCCTGCAGTAAAGTATACCTTGATAATATTTCTCTCCAAGTTTTAGTACTTACAGTAAGTTACATTCTCTGTCAGACGTTTATCCCTAAATTGAAACGTATTTTAGCGGAAGATTTCGTTAGCTTTGGGGAAAATTTTTTAACTAGAAAAAGATAGTGGAACTAGTTTTTTTAAAAATACTTTAGAAAGGAAAAGAATATATTATTGTCAATAATAATTTAATAAAAGTTTTAAACACTGTAAAAAAGTTCAAAAAAAAGTAACTCAAATTAAAATACTTAAAATTTCTACGATTAAGAGGCGACTTTTACGATTTTTCTAATGACTAACTTTATAACTATTTTTATGACCTATTTTGTAAACCATTTTACGGCTACTTTGAAACTTACTTTAACTGTAATTTTTAAACCCAAGTACTTACGCACTCAAGTTTTCAATTTCGTATAAGTGTAAAGTTTGGATCACTGTTTTATGAACTTTTACTTAAAAAAGCCGCAATTGCTTTTGGTTTAAAAAATGTTTCAAGTCTTTTTCTCTTTGATCTTTTTTGGGGATATTTTATTTTATTATTTTTATCTCACTTTGATTATGCGTTCTTTATTTTATGCCTGATAGTAAAAAGATTATGAAGCTTTTTTTTTAAAATCTTATTTTTGAGGACGACTTGTAGTACTGCAAGAAATTGGGTGTCCCTACAATCTTTGCACCGTTCAGAGCTTACCACGAGTTTGGTAGTAATGTGTCTTAGCGAAAAGCTCCATAACTACGATGGGCAGTAAATCAGTCGGTAGATACCAAAAAGGCAGTATTTTTTGGTTCTGAGGGGTCGACACTCTTCACCTTGTCGAACCAGTGGAAAATTCACTCTTTAACTGGATTATATAATCGATGGATGTTTGGCTTGAAATTTTAGAACCGAAGGACTATAACCTTGTCTGTCCTTCAATATTTTACTTTTTTTGAATTTTAAGGGGTTACATCCACTTAGGATTATGAAAAAAATTGATTTTCTTTATTGCAGTTTGTGAATGAAGAAGACTTACTAAATACTACAGTAAAAGATTTTCATAGTAGATGATGAATAATAGATTGATTTCAAAAAGAAAGGATCCCACAGAATTTTCATTAGTTTTCGCATTTTGTGAATGGACAATGTTTACTAAATACTACAGTAAAAGATTTTCATAGTAGATGATGAATAATAGATTGATTTCAGAAAGAAAGGATCCCACAGAATTTTAATTAGTTTTTGCACCCAAACTCCTAATTATTAGTCGTTCTGTAGAAGAAATATTTAGTATTTATAATTCATGATAAATTAATAACATCAAAGATCTGATAGAAAATTTTCCACAAAAAGTTTCTCCTGCAACTATTGATTCTAAAATGAATTATTTTTAAATGTCATTTATTATAGGGTGAAGATTTATATTGTTTTTCAATTTATATTTTATTTTGACCTATCATAAGATAGGTTATTTTTTGTTTGGATATGTCGAGTTGCTTTTAATTTAACCCTCCTACGTTGTGGTTATCGGTCGTTCTTTAAACAAGATATGCTGGAGATACAGTATATTCATGCATATGTATAGGAATATTTATATACAAATATAATAAACTCGATGAAGTGTATAAACTATTTCTTTCATGTTCAAATGTTAAATTTTTAAATTTAATTTTTACATATTATGATAATTAAAAAAGTATTTTTATTAAATAAGTAATTATGTGGATTCAATTTATATATAAATCTATATATATACGTAATTAAATTTTACTTCTGTAATATTATATGTGAATAAATAAAATTATTCTTATTTAGAGGGATAAGAATGTAGGTGTAATCCTAATAATTTGAAATATTACTGTGCGTTTATGCAAATTACTTCTAATACATAGATTTATTGATAAAGTGGTACATAATGGCAATGCCTGGGGTAATAATTCCCCCATATCCCTCAACCCTGGATTTAATCCTATATGGGCTGAACTATATACAAGCAATCTTAGTTAGTTCGACCATATATTTTGACTATTATTATATTTGAATTTCTTTTCTCCTACAATTTCTTACATAAATTCCCCCCTACCTGATGCATTCCATGTATAAATAAATATCTAGTTAATTGCAACATTTAAAAAAAAAATTTAATTCTTCTAAATGAAAAATATTTCCCATACGATTCATTATAATTCTAAATAAAGGCAATACCCTCGAAATGAATCTCAGTTTGTCATGCCAAAATTAAATATAGATCAGTAATAGAAGTCACGGAAAATGAAGAAGGGTATACAGACGTGCATAGGAGGTTTATAACTTTTGGCGCTTTTCCAATATGCATATGTATATTAAAGTATAAAGGAGCTATAGAATTTTTTTCTCACTACAAAACAAACATAGAGTTTATTTTTCAAAATGCATATAAGACAAAATCATTGAACTCACTTTTATGTTGCAACCTGACAGTTTTAGCTTATTCAATTATCATTTCAAATGTGGAATAAAATTAGATGGGAGAGAAAAATTTACTTTTTAATTAAATTAGTCTTGTGGCATAATAAATATTTTCAAATTTAAATATTTATTATATCAAGACTTTAGCTGAAAAATTAGCTAAATAAATAGTTGTAAATATAATTAGATTTATTTCTCTAAAAAATTAAATAAATAATTAATTGTGAATATGGTAAAAGGTTAATATGTCACAAATTATTGTAGGTTATGGTTATTAATTTTTAAGTGATGAAAAACTAATGATATTTAAATTTATTTAAATATTAAATTTTTAATTTAAAAACTAATGATATTTAAATCCGTATTACATTAAAAATATTCACAATAAGTTTTTTACCACTATAAGAAATTTTTAATTTATTTAAAGGGTTACATCCAGTTAGACATTCGAAAAAAGTAGATATTTTTATTATTATTCATCATCTACTATGAAAAACTTATACTGTAGTATTTAGTAAGTAAGAACCACTTTTAATAAAAAAGTAGATATTTTTATTATTATTCATCATCTACTATGAAAATCTTGTACTGTAGTATTTAGTAACTACTAGACCCACTTTGAATATTCTTCTGTACTTTTTGACACTCTTGACATATGAACACAGAAAATAAACCAATAGCAAGCGTTATCGCTATGATTTCTGACCAATAGCGACCGTCATCATAGTATTTCAACCAATTTGAAACATTTGAAAAATTAACTAAATAATTAAAATTTTTTTTTATGATTTATATGTATTATTTTAAAAAAATAATAACAGTGATCTAGGCTAAATTTAATCGTACAGGTATATGGTCACGCAACTGTTACTGAGGATGCTTTAACTTTTTCGTGTATAGTCACCGGGATAAACGCATGCGTCACGACGCCCCTGCTTTAAGGATACGTACCGTCGAGATGCCGACGCTCACTGACGCCCAGTACTCGTTCCCGCATCCCTTGAAACAGTGGTGTCTCTCTATCATTCTCCGCAGCAACCCCGCAACTTTTCGAAACCATTCCCGGCTTTCAATTCACGCGGTGTTCAAATCAACTATCGCGTGTCGCTCATCAAACATTTGTAATATTATAACCCAGTGTCATTCATGTCAAGTGGGAAAATTCATCAGATTACAATTTTTCATCAATCTACAAAATAAAGTAAGTAGTTTATTTTTGTTTTTTTCCCTGCCAAAAAAAAGAAATATAAAATTTCATTTCCCCCTCGTGATAGCCATGCGATAACGATAAAATTCCCTCCTAAACTTTCTGCTTTTGTGCGAGAAAAAAATTCTCTTTAGGGAAAGAGATTTTTTTTTTAAATAAATAAAAGAGGGGTACTTGAAGGGAAAAAAGAGAGTTGTTCAGAAAATTCGAGAATAGAAAATATTTCCAAAATAAGAGAAAATATATTTTTTCAAGTTCATGAAACTTCATTTATTCGTTTAAGATGAAATTTTTAAACATTTTTTTCAATTGAACGAAAATGTTTATCAGTTTCTGATTTTCAATAGAGTAGGTTATGTGCAAAACTTGCAAGGAACTAGTTTCAAATAGTTTTTTAACTTCCAACAAATAAAATTGTTAAATTAAAAATATTTTCTCTTTTTTGGGACATTCAGTTCTGAAAGAGACAGCCATGCTGTTGAAACATTAAATTGTTTTTATTTTTTTATTGGCCGTGGCTTCGATCGATTCATATTTTACACCTAGTATTTATTGAGCATTGACCAACTGATAACTTCGATTACTATCTTAAATAGTTTATGTTCATAGACATTTCAATTTCAAACCCCAAGGACAATGAATTTTTTTTCAATTATTAAAAATTAAAACAGTTCGAACGTTTTTGTTTTCCTTATGGCACGTCACTGTAACTAATAATAATAATGCTAGTAATGATAATAATAATAATAATGGTAACAATATTAAAATAATTGATAATAACAACTAATCATTATTATTTACATGTTGTTGATTATAATTGTTTAAACTAATAGTTCAGTTTAATAATAGCAAATTGTAACCTTTTATAATCAATGAAATTGCAATAACAAATAATTAATAAATAACGACAAAATTTCAATAATAAATAATAACAAATAGTAATTAACGTTATTTGTCAATAAAAAATAAATAATAACAAATATATAATTGATAAATAATAAGATTGTAATAATAAATAGTAATAAATTGTAATTAACAAATAACAGAATTGTAATAATAATAGTAACAGGTTGTAACTAACAAATAACAGAATTATAATAAATAATAACAAATTATAATTACAAATAACAAGAATTGTAACAAATTATAATAACAATGAATTGTAGTTGACAATTAACAATAACAAATTGAAACACTTATTAAGAAAAATTGTTTTCTATTTGTATAATAATTCCAGCGAAAGATATCAAAATAATTTAAAAAGTAATTAATAAAGGCCAATCTAATTAGGAATGAATATCTAGTGTAGAGAAGATTTTAAGTAAATTAATCTTCCTAAAGAAAACTAATTTTCTCAAGAAACTTTCGATAAACTATGTATGTATATAGAAAGAATAAAATCAAGTCTTGTTTGAATAATTACAGAATTATTTACATAAATAAATCATTAATATATTTCGAATTGTAAATAATTTCCATTAATAGTATAACAAAATTTCCATTGAATAAGATTTCTTCAAAGTTTACATAAATATAAATTATCTTGTTATATTACAATTTAACTAATTTTGTTAATTTAATTTCAAACGTATTATCCGCAAGAAGACAATGTAGAATATTTAATTAGTTGCAAACAACCAGCCTAACAATCAACTATTGAGAAGACATGGGGTACCTTCTCTAAATATTTATAATCTTTTATTTCTTGCTGTTCAAATTTTTTGTAGTGAAAAGCCTCGTCACTACGATATTACATTCCCATGAAATTTGACCAGAAGAAAAATTATTACTAAACTGAATTGTAAACTCTAAATGTTTATAATCTTTTATTACTTGCTGTTCAAATTTTCCTTATCCCCAAGAAGACAATGCAGAATATTTAATTAGTTGCAAACAACCAGCCTAACAATCAACTATTGAGAAGATATGGGGTACCTTCTCTAAATATTTATAATCTTTTATTTCTTGCTGTTCAAATTTTTTGTAGTGAAAAGCCTCGTCACTACGATATTACATTCCCATGAAATTTTACCAGAAGAAAAATTATTACTAAACTAAATTACTTAAAAAAAATATTGATCCATTAAAAAATATTTTTTTCATGGAATATTTTTCTGTAATATCTCCATCTAAAAGAATATAACCATCCTACATTCATGGACCACTAACCATCCCCATAAAATTAAGTAAAGAAATAACAATTTTTATTTAAATTTTTCTTAATAATTTTCTGAAATATTAAACAATAACAAAAAACACTTAATTATAGAAAATATTCACACACACCCAAAAAAAGAGTTATAATTAAAAATTCAATTAAAATTTAATTACTGCTATAAAAGGGAAAATTCATTTTTCATATAAATGAAGTATATTTATTTCGAGATATTAATTAACATTATTGAGAAATATCAGTGGTCCATCATATAAGCTTCTACATAGACAAATGAACAAATTATTACTCTTCCAAAGAGAGTTCATTTAATTAATTTATTGATGTAACATATATTTCAATTTTATTCAATATGAACAAATTATATTTATACACTTTTAATTGTACAACACTTTTTGCTTTGAGATTAATTATTTTTTTAATTATTCAAAAATGTTTAATTAAACTATTATTTCGTTATTTATTATTATTTCTAATAACTTTGTCATTCTTTCAACCTTCAAGTAACAAATTTTAAGCGAATCTAATTAATTTCATAACAATTTGTCCGCCATTTTGAATTTTTGACATTTGATTTCATATTCGTATTCAGCGACCCCAAAAACCCCCGAGTAACAAGTTTCAATCGAATTCAATTAATTTTGAAAAAAGTCGTCCGCCATATTGGATCCGCCATTTTGAATTTAGAAAATCCAATATTAAATTCGTAATCAGCGACCCCGAAAACCCCCGAGTACCAAGTTTTAAGAGAATTCAATTAATTTTGAAAAAGTCGGCCGCCATATTGGAGCCGCCATTTTTGATTTTTGAAATCTGACTTCATATTCGTATACAGCGACTTCGAAAACCGCTGTGTAATTTCATATAATATTTAATAAGGGATAAAATATGTTCAACAAAGTAAAAATATTTCTTTTGTAAAAAATAATTTTGAGATGATGCTTAAAAAAATGGTGCAAATGTCTCCTGTAGTCTATGTGAATTTTCTCGACCATTTCAATGATTTATTTATTTAAAATAATTCAACTTTGCTTAATCAAATTTTCTAGATTAACATTAATGTAAAATCTAATTTATTTTCCGGAACCCTTCTAGATTCGAGTAAATTCAATTAAATTAAAGTGAAGTTAGTTTAAGTGGTGTCGTTTCCTTATCTTCCCCTCTTTGCCATCTATTTATTTAATTATATAGTTTCTGTGCTATTAATTAAATAAATTATACATTTTTGTTATTTTTATAAAGTGTCCTATCGTGATGGTGAATTTTTTTCACACTTAAAAAATTGGAAGGCAACAGGTAACAATAAGAAGAATAATTAAACTTCTTTTACGAAGATTGTAAAACTGAAAACTGAATAGAAACACCGATTATAATTATTTATATAAAAATTTTGCATACGAAGAAAAATAAAATTTTAATTCGATGAAAATAAAAATTCTTTTTATTTGCAAATGTCTTTTTGTGTGTGCGTGAAATCTATTAATTTTTTATTTGAAAAAAAATTAAGGACAAAAAATAGGGGGAAAAACAGAATGATGTGAAATAGTAGGGTTGGAAAAAAATACAAATGTAATAGGAAAGGAGCACTAAATAAAGAATTAGAAATGAGTATTGTTTGTCATGTGTTTGGTGGTGAGTTAGTTGAAATATAATAAATATGCATCAGGTTGTTTCATGTATGTCGGAGAACCCTCATGATCGATCATTCTCGTCGCACGTCAACCCCCGGAACCTTATAATTATTATACTCATAAATCGCGGCACGACGTTATAAATAAAAAAAGATGCACTTTTGCAATAAGTTGTTATCGTAAAAAATAGTGATGCAATAAGCAAACCGATATGCGGACTTTACGTCACACGATTTTTGAATTGATACTTTTATGTCCCTGATATTATAACAGATTCATAAAAGTTTATAACTTTTATTTATATTAAATTTCACGTATGAATGCTTTCAAACATGTTGTAATCTATATATTGGCCCTAAATATATACACACAGTTTACTTCAACGCTGGGTTTTCATTAAGATCACCTGGTAATTAATATCTGATAATTGAAAATGCTTCGCAAATTAGAAAATTGATTGACATTAATTTAGAAAAAAAATCTTATCTTTAAGATCAGTAACAAAATTTAAAAGAACGTGGTATGGAATAAGAGACGTAAGGAATTTTTATAAAAAAAATTTAAGAGACTTGATTTAATATTAAAATGAATTTTGATTTTCACACAACGGGGTGACCGTATTTAAACTTGTAATTGATTCTACCATTAAGGCAATTAATTAATTATTTGAAACCTGCTGACAGAGGTTGATACTCATCTTTCTTATAAATTCTTATTTAAATTATTATCACGCAAAAGCTTCGCCTTATTAAAAATAATATAACTCAACTTTTAGCTTTATCAATACACTTCAAAGTCTCATCTTTTGTATTTTAATTAACTCTTGAAATTTCAATTATAAAAATTATATTTCTTCAATTTAATCTTCAAACAATAAAATTTCTTGCGTTGGGGAAAAAATAGATTATAAGCAAATTTCATCAAAAGTGTCCATCACATTCTGTAATTGCTTTCAAAAATCGTAAAGTGGGTTAACCTTTAGCACACAGCTCGAAATAAAATTCATCGGTTGAGTGGTTTTCGAGAAATGGGCAGCGATTTGAAAAACGTGGTTTTCAGAAAATCGCATTCGAAAGTTAATGAATAAATCATGATATTCTTCTTGTCAGAATTGTGAATGAGGGAAGAAACTAGATATTTTTAATTTATATTTGTTTCGACAATGTTATAAAAATATTTGCAGACTCTTT